TGACCATATCAATATATGGTGTTACCAGCGGAATACTCAAATGGTAGAATTTGAAGTTACTGCAAAGAGGAGAGAAGAGCACCAGTCCTGTAGCCACACGAGATCACTAACAAAAAAACGACAACGACAGACAGCGCGAACGATACAGTGAAAGCTCAATAAGCTCAACAATGGCCCGTTGTTATGAGTTTGTCATTCACTTGCGTATAGTTTACTGCTACAACGTCCCATAGTTTTTATTGTACAATATCGAACGTGACAGCTTTATATTTCTCAGTCAGCGTCAGCTTGTTGATCTAAATATTGCAACTTTTACCGATATGGTATTCACGACTAGAACTCACAAAATAGTAGTCCATTTCGTCACACGACTTCCACAAATATTGCCTCTATTCTGCCAAATTGGCTATCTTAAAGTGCAACAACAATTAAAATGAAGAACAAGATTGTTGTGGGAACCAGTCGGTTTTATGCTTTGGGAGAATTTAATCGAATATAGCGATAATTATAGTAGCTTAATAACGTAAGTGACCCATACGGAATGACAATAACGATAATAACCTCCTTCATCCCTGAATTTATCCCGACGGAGCGGCTCCTGTGTCAATCCCGCAAAGGCTGACTAACGAACCAGTAACCGAGGAACAAGCCCTGCTTTTATTGAACGGATAAAACTGTTATAGTGGTTAATGGGGTGTCGTCAGAAAAGTGAAAAAACGCCGAATTACGTGATAGAATTACGTGACAGTTGTACATTTCGCTGCGAGTTACGTTGTTTTTTCCACATATGCGTATTGTAACCGCTTTAGGGGGCTTTCGTTGTTGACTAGTGGACATTGAAATGCGCTAGGCATAGATGCACACTGATCGACTTACTTTTAGGGCAAACGCGCGTTTGATTTGGTATCAACTTCAGAGGTGGTAAGGTCGATATCATAAGTGCAGATCTTCTCATTCTAGTTTGATATTGATTTTAATTTTATTTCTGTAATTCAATATACTTAAGCGATATGTGTATATAGGCTAGCATAGATTTGTAGATCTATTGGTAAGTTCTTCGAGCACAGTAGAGTTCCTGCTATACTTACAGCTTCGTTGGCGTGACCGCTTATATTTAGGCATTTGCCTCGAATTATTACAGTTTAAATAGAGTTTAAATAGTGCCTGTTTCCATCCCGTAAGTATACGTGCTGCGTCTAAATGAAAAACTCGGAAGAGTTGGGAAAAATATTTAGTTACTACTGCAACGACGCTCGTCGTAAGCAGATCAATGAAATTAAAACAACAACACTCTAGGTTGCCCCTGGGGTTTATTGTAGCCAGCTGTAGATTGTGCCGCCAGTGCGACAACTGGGAAAATGTTATTTAGACGAAATTGGTTACAAATTCCTGTATGCTCGGGCCACCAGCAACTACTGCCCTCCTTCCTGCGTTCGCTCCGCGCCCCAGTCAATGCGCAGCGCGACATGTCCATACTTAAGACTGTCTGCCATCGTAGCTAGATAAGTACATTGTGTTCAGGTATAGCATTTACTTGGTTAGTGGTCTGTAAACCTGCGACGAAAAATGCGTGATTCATACTTGCGTGCCTAATGTTTGAAAAGTTCCTTTCAGTTTCTTCTGCAAGGCCGTTTTTAAAACAGTACTGTTAAGATAAATCGGGATAAATATCTATTAATTCGTGTCGAGCTATAAAAGCGACAGTCTACGTTGCTAGATGCGTGATTATCTAAGCAAAACTTCGATGAAAAAAGTTGTTACATGCGCATAGAGACAGTAGAGACCGCTTGTCCTTATGTGGCAATTTTGGGCATAATTACGACCAAACAACCCATAGATAGCAATCAAATAACTACTGCACAGCTCTCTTACTGCTGTATTCTTGTATACATTTGCAAAGTGCTTTTAAAAAAGCAATAGAACGTTTGGTCGCAGCCAAAGACACATGCCTGATATATACCATTTACCAACGCAGTGTCAACACTTGCAATAAAGACAGACGAATTTAGGAATATAAATGAAAATGCGAGTTTTGCTAGTTTCTCTTACATTGACATTTTATTACTTGTTTACCAAGTTATCCATGCTAGTAGCGTACGACTTATTTTTCATAAACGATTGCCATTCTGCTCCACTGTTGTATCAATTTTCTATTGCAACGTACGGTATTGCATTGTTCCATTATTTATCAATTTTATATTGTATGTAAAGTTATATGTATCACTATATACTTTATACAAGTATGCAGGAACTGATCTTGTTTTTCACTAAGAGCGAGCAACTGATTAAGAGCACAGTACTCTAAAGTTTCTTGCCAAAAATGATTATTGTCATAAAATTGGCGCATTCATCATCAACAGTGATCTTCACTGTTCTGTCGAAAAGCGTTGAGACTATCGCGCGCACGGTTGTCCTTCAACGTGCCGTTCTCGTTCAACTGCTAACCGGAGAAGGCACCAGACTAATGGCTTCTAATATCTGTTGTTCGACATCGTTTATCTCGAAGAGAATTTCAACAACCTAACATAAATGCTCCTTATGCAACCCCGGTCTTGCTGGGAAGGACTAAGCATGGCACCGTGGTTCAGCACAAAAGAGCCTAGCGTTTTGCTGTTGCAAAAGCACTGAAGTGTAAAATGAATAGCCACGTTTAAGCTGCAATATAGTCAGCAACGCGGTCATTATAAGCACAGACAAAAACCTTCGTGTCGCTAGTTGTCGCTGTTTACGATGCTATCGTTCGGCTATAGTCTTCCCCTCAAGCAAAACATTACAAACCGAATCAGTCATTAAAAACAAAACTGACCATTTGAGATCAAGCTGCGATAGTTTATATGTTGAGGTTTCTCAAGCAGAAGGTTTCTGTTTACCTGCATGTATCGTATGTTCTCGTGATTGTGCAGTAGTACTATTTGTTTGCTAAACTTAGGGACAATTCGGGAGGCAGTCTAGAACTGAAAGCAAGCGTAGACGTAATTTTGTTTCGTATCAGGGGAAGGCCAGAGCCGTCTCAAGCGGCAATGTTTCAATGGCAATACTAGATCTAAAAACTCGGAACATTTGGTTTGATCGTAACATGTCACGGCGGCAACGGTGGTGTTCCTTCTGCTGTTTGTGACGTCGCTTCGTGTTGATCTTCAAAAGATGTCAGTTTGAAATCCACAAAGTACAGATGCGTTTCACTTGGCACCTTCTCTACCTAAGTATGCTTGATATACAGGTTAAAATTACAGTTTCGATAATCAGAAAGCCTTAGTTTGAATTTCAGTAACATTGTTTGAATCTCTAATTAGTAATTGAAGTTTGTTGTATGCTATTGCAGCTGTCCGTTTTGAGTCATGTTGGGTGAACGCAACAAAATTTAATGAATTATTATTTTACTTGGAGAAACTATAATTTAAAAAATACAGTGGGATGCGAATAATAATAAAAGAGTACTTCCAGCTCATATTAAAAAATCACAATTACGGCACACTAGTCCAAAAAGTAATCAATTCAAACATTGTCGTTATATATATATATATATATTTCCTACAAGCTTCGCTAATGTCACATTAATCAAATTCTTTTCAATTATATTACTAGATATAAAAATGTAACGCAGCAATAGGTTAGAGAAAATTAATTTCCTATAGCAGACAAAAAAAGGTATAAAAATAGCAAGCCCGCTTTTACTCAAAATAAACGTATTCAAAACATGGCACTTGTAAAAAATACACATTTGTAGGCCACAAAAACATTCGCATTCTTGAAATGATTAACACACACAAACACACTGTGTTCCTCCCGCTTTTCAGCAGCGTCACATGCAATAGGAAAATGTTCGCTAACGCTGATTTTAGCATGGGACATGCCGATGGTGTTGCAAGATTTATTGTATGGCTATATACACTGTGAACAAATTTCCTAGTGGACGAGTATAGACAAGTGGATGTATGATAAATCGGTGTCTCAAAGCATCTTTTTCACGCAGAAGCACCCGTTTCAGCTGCAGTAGCAATAGCCTGCCAGTACTCGTAAACCAAATGCTCTTTCACGTAAAAAATGCTATCCGCACTTAACGTTATTCGTAGTAACATTCATTGTGATAATAGTATTAAAACTTGCACGAAGGGCGCAGTAAATCGTTAGAATTACTACTAGGTAATAATGCAGGGCTAAGGCTGAAACAGTTTTAATATTATTATGGCTATTAAAATTCAATTAGATGAATTTCAGCAGAATGTACGGATAAAACATAATTAATTTCACTACATGTAGACTAGTTACATTTCGAACTCAACAACTAAAACCACTTTACCCAGCGTTCCTAAAGCTGATTAGTACAGCTACATATCTTCCAACTATTTTTTGAATTCACTTCCCTTAAGTTATAATCTAAAATTAAGTGAATAAGTGAAATAGATTGCTGCTATATTGTTATTATTATTATTATTTTACACTTTAGCTGCGCAAGAGCACACTAATATGAAGAATTGCAGCTTCTAGTAAAGTTTATTATCTTTAATCAACCAAAACATAGGGTGTTGACTTTTAATCCTTCAGGCTGCATACAGTCTTCCATTTTTGTACCAAATGCCCAAGAGCTTTGTGACTGCACTCCATCTCTGATCGTGCCAACTCCCACTAGACACAGAAGCGAATAGTTGCATTAATGGAAATTCCTCCTGAGGAAGGCCGTCTGCATTGGGTACTATTCGTACTAGGAAGGATAGTGAATTTAGTACATCTAATACTAGTTTTCTGATTAGCTTATATGTGCGTGGAAGGTTCGTCTAAAAAACGTTTAATCCAGGGAACGGGATCTCACGACAACAGACAATCCATACACCAATTTCACATATATTTAGACACGTCAGCAACACGCTTTTTTAGTATATACAGTATGTATTTAATTAATTTAATTAATTAATTTACAAAGTAAAGCAAAGACTACCAACATTCGTAAAACGAATATTGTTTGCACGCTCTCTAGCTTAAGATTTTATCTAAGTGATTGACACTCGCAGCTTTTGAGGTAATAGAATGAGTTTACTTTATTGGGGTATAAAAATTACTGTACAAAAGTTTCGTGCGTTTAAATATAACACGTGTCCTCTCGGATACAACAAACGCACACTCTTCTCAGGTCATTTTCGTATTATTATTACTATGGCAGGTGCTGCCATTTACGCTCGAGGTCAATCGTGTTTTGTAGTTTGAAATAGCTTTGCAGATTCTACGTTTAGCACACGTCAGGATGTTAGGAAGCTATGTTACCATATTTTAGAAACATCGGTTTTTTGTCACTACAAAGATTCGAAGATTTTACTTCTGTCTTAACTAAATTTACAATTGATTTTTTTAAATTTATATTTAAGGCTTAAGCTTGAACGAGTTGCGGAGTATTTTTTTAGATACTCGTGACTTCTTATTGATTTTGTTGGCTAAAATCAAGTTATATCGCTCACGTATGCATGCAATTGAAAAACTATGTTTTACTCCGTTTGAGCTGTCTTTAGCTGCTGCTTTTACTACTGTTGCTAATAAATTAAGCCTTTTCATTATACGAATAAAATGCATAGCCTATTATGCTGTTGAAAAAAATCGACGCTGAAATCCACCACGTGGCAAAATTGAAGACGCCACGAAACAGAGCTGGCGTGAACACTTCTTTTAACCTGTGCAGTGAAAATGGTAGTGGAACGGATGATTTTGGCAAAATCGTCTCGCCTGGCAAACCTGCCCAACTGTAATCGCCCAGCGTTTTCAATAACAAGACAGAGAATAGCAGTAGTACAGCTGGTGCCACATATTGCAGTGCGACGACACATGAATAATTAAACACACTCGAAATCGTCTTGCGAAACTCAGAAATTTGTATGCGCCCGGCTTCTTTTTGTAGGTTGCGAATTTTTTTTTGCGCAACATTCATATAGGCTTGCATGTAGCGATTGAATAGCCATAGACGCAGTACGCAGGCGATAATAATTGTCATAATTCGCGATATTTCGAATTGGTCCGGTGTCATAACTGGGCCGGACATTCCAGAGAAGATCCTCTGCGTGAAGTACTCACGAGCTACCGGAGTAACCCACATCATAAGGACGAACAGCGGGAATACGAAGTTGAGGTGAACGAGCATTTTGCCCGGTGGGCCGATGACATCACTGGCTAGTAAGTCGCGATGCATCTGTGCAAAGCGAATCCCAGGAAAAACAAGTAGCGCTCCAACAACTCCGGCCCACGCTGCCAGACTCAGTTTGAAGATTAGTTCCGATGTTGGTCCGGCAGTTTCCAGGGAGATCTCCTCGCTGAATTTTGTAACCGATGTCTAAAAATAAAAGTCATATGAATTATATTTGTCAATGCAATATCTGCCGTGAGATCCTTTGTACAGCTCACGAGCCTGAAATCTTTTTGTGTCTGCACGTATGTGTCTGACTGAATGTGTGCGAACCGAATGTTCACGTTGCTATCTACAGATTGACCAGACAAATTATTATCTTACCTTAAAACTGTCATAGGCGTCTCTGAGTCCAAACTCGAGCCATTTCTCATCAACGATAAGTATCAGCATAGCTATTAAAAGATAGGTTAGACCACACACGAGGCACATCGAGCGCTCGGCTGAAGTCTCTTCAGATCGGAAGTAAATTTTTGCCAACGAGAGCAACGTTCGCACGACGAAGATCACCACTAATAGGCACCACAGGACGGACATGTTGACCTCATCTAAATTCGGCCGCATAAATAAGTACACCTAAGAAATTTCAAATGACGTCACTCACTGACTATGTACTATTTAAGAACACGTTCAGTTTATTACTCGTCACTTTACTAAGTGATTCCTGTCTTCAGACTTCATTCATATGAGGTTATTCATGATAGATATATCTGTAAACATTTATTAGTAAATAATGAAATTAGGTGTTTCAAGACTTAATCGGAACCTTAAATTTCAAACGTCGATAAAATGGTGATTAATACTATAAACATAAGTATATTCCTGTTATTGCAAAATCCGACAAAAGAGTGGCAAAAATTTAGCCAGCATCGACTCGTGTAGAAGTTAATAACCTCTGTGATCCCGTAAAGTAATGTTGTGTAGGCCATGAAGTCCAGGAGCCACTGATATTCAGGATAAAACTGCAAAGCCGAAAGATCGTCCGCAGTTATCGGGATGTGTTCTAAAGCCACATTCACATTTTTACTAATCTTATAGTCTGGCGAAGAGCCCTGGAAAAAAATAAATAATACAACGTTATTTTGCGTACTGATGAAACACCAATACGTCTTGTGAGTACGAGCGTTTTTGTACCTCACCAGTTTTGAATTCCATGCATATATGAAAAATAATCGGAAACAGCCAAGAGGACATTATTAGATTGATGTAACACATCAACTATTTTTAAATTAATCAATGCGTATTTAGTGTAAGTAACCTTCTCAAGTGCATATTAGATGCATATAAGCAATCAATACTACAAAAGTCCTACAGACGTGTGCATTTTAAAAATTATAAAAAAAAAGTTGTTCTTTTTTTGAAAACTTGGTAATATCTTACCCCCCACTAATTTTAAAATGACTTGACTTATACTTTTACATTGAAGTTTCACCTTTTTTTTATGTTTTTTGCTTTCTTCCTTTATACCCTCAGCGTCCTGAAGCTCTTGAATTGACGGTGGAAGATACGCAAACAATTTTTTTCCAAGCAACCATCGTGCAAAGGAGAAGCTGAACGATAATTTTTGTAGTACACACGCCATTATCATACTGATCACGATTTGAGTTCCAAAAAGGGCCATTTTTGGAAACCTTTTTCAGACACTAATACCTTCTCTTTCCTTCTTATTAACTGAGATTTCAGAGCGCACACAAATGAATATACATGCACCTGGGCATAAACACTTTTTTAATGATTGGGTTCGTGCTGATCTACCAGCTACACTTTTCACATGGCCCGATATATCGAGCGACTGAAATATCAAATCTAGAATTTCAGTATAGCTAATCTTGCTGAAGAACACCTGCGCGAAAACCCGGCCAATTTTAACTGTCTTTGTCTTGCGTTTCACTCTCTCTTGTGATGTCCCGCTGCTTTAGCTTACAATGCACCCATATTCAGGTAATTCTCTTCAAGCAGAGCTCTTACCCGGTCAACAGGATAAATAGGCTAGAAAAATGCGGAACAACCTTCGAATATAGCGAAATACTTGCAATTGTCTAATCTCGCTGACAACTTGGTTTTCTTCATTCTGCACATTTCCTAGTAAACAACTGACCGCTCGTGTTCCACTGCAGTTAAGCGCAAGAACGGAGAGGAGAAATTAATGGCTATGATATCGTCTTGTCAGAAACGCTCTAAAACACTGTATTGGAATCGAAATGAATGGCAATCTGTACACGATGCACGCCGAACGATGCCGCCGACACAGCTTTAAACGTTACGTTAGCTGGGATTTGTCGAAAAGACACCTGGACCAATTTAACGTGTGTGTGGTAATTTGATGATGGGTGTGTGATAACTGCGGTGCATAACAACTGTCGACACGAATCATAGTGTTGCCTTTGTTATAAAGTTCGGTTGAATCTGACCGTTTGTTTTTCCGAAATATGGCCTCCGAAGGAGAAGTAAAATTGAACGAGAAGCAACCAGAAGGAGGTGCTACTTTTGAGGTTTGTGGCTTTAAATCATTTGACCGTAAAAAGAAAAACACGCGTCCCAGAGTGTCGCGTGGTACGACTGTGAGTGGAAGCATGTCGCACATTCTAGAAGATCATAACTCAGTAGGTTCTATATTGACGTTGGTACGATGTTTGGCATTTTCAATGAAGAGGGCATTTGTGCAAAAACCTCAATCACATCATCAGATCATTATCCGCTCGGATTTGATGGAACGCGACAAGATTCAACCAATGAAACGACTTCATTTGGTTTGGCATCTTGATTTTTTCCGTTTCCGTGCTTTCAAATCTCCTGTTAAGCTCTTTTAAATCTTAAAACGCCGGTCAAAACGTCTCTAGGCTGATGAGCGCAGTGAATTTTTTGTGCAACCACAAGGCTTCTGTATGAGTTACATGAAACTTTATAAAGACTTCGATTTTTCGAAATCCTAAAAGTTTTGAGAAAGACCGATATACGCGACCGAAATCGAGCTTGTACTGTGTGGATATTATTATCTCTTTGGATAATTATTTCTGTTTCGTTTACAGAAGACGAGTAACCCTTCAGTAGGTGAGGATTCGGAGGTCGATAAGGTAAGATATTCAAGCAGTTTTACTAAAGGCTTTTGAAGCCAATAGAATTACGGTATACCGTTAAATCAACATACTGCTCTATTACTTTTCTGTCTCAAATTGAGCGCCGCCAAATTAACCACTACAGCATTCCTATTACAAATGTGTTATGCATATGTAACGTACAGACACTTAAAGAAACGTAGCCTCCAGTTTCGCAGCCTAAGAGGCACTCATCCGAGTATTTTTTATGTTCCCTGAAGTCCTAAAAAAAGGCACTTTTCTAGTATAATAAATCAATAATAATAGTTATCACGGCATATATAGTAAACAAATAATTAACAAATAATACACAAAGTATAACTTTATGCTTGTTCGAAATGTTTTTATTATCAAAAGAGGTTGTTTTGACATCGACCCTGAAAATAACCTTGACAAAGCACCCTGAGATTCTGGGAAAAATTCAGACACGTAGAAACCAAATACTTTAATGTATTGAAATTCTCCTATATTTTTTGAGTAGTTTACATAGTTATGCTAAATGTTTGCTTGTTTGTGTTGGGACTTGAAGGCTGATAACATAGCGAAAATGGACACCCCTGATGGCACAAAGGTAACCTGAGCTAACCTGAAATTATTGTCGCTTCTTGGTGTAATTTTAGGACAAAGATAAGCTGCCTCCGAATGATCAAAATGGCTGCGATCTAGAAAACTATAGATGGACCCAAACCCTTGAGGAGGTGGAGCTTCGGGTACCGATTCCTGATGGTCTTAAAATTAAATCGCGCGATGTCGTTTGCAATATTGAGAAAAAGGTTTGTTACGCCAAACTCAAAAATAAATAAACTAGCGTAGGTGTGAACGATTTCAGTAAGTACATGCTTTTCCCAATACTTGTCTTCATACGGTTAGTCGTAGCATTACTAATATATACAGGGTAATATAGTATCGATTTTTTTTTTACTTATCTCAATGATGGAAAGGTTTGTGGAAGAAAGTATCTAATCTATAGTCTGAACTTTGTGAGTGCTGCCGTTTTCAAAGTTTCGACACAAACCTCTTTTGTGGAGGCGAAGTCCGAAACCAGGTTCAGTCCAGATAAAGAAAATGCTTTACGTCCGTTGCTTTGTCTTGCTTATGCTCGCCCCTTCACATTTTTTTTTTAGTTTTAATTTTTCATAAAACTATAATTTATTATATCAGTTTTTTGTCAGTACTTAAGTCCCTATTTAATAGCAATTATAAATTGTCAAAAAATTCCCAAAAGAGTTTCGAATTTATGAAAATGTTCAAAGTTTCTTTTTAAAATATTGAGAGTTCATTTTGAATTTGCCCAGAAACCATTGTGGCGTGTTTTATGGTAATATATTTGAACTAAAATAATAAAAGAAAGTAAAAAGACAACTTGAAACAAATAAAAGCACTAAATATTTTGATGTGTCTCGTTGATTCATTGTGACAAAAGGTATCGAATGCAGCTTCAGAGTAAAGATATCAAAAAACTTAGACATGAAAGGGATACCACTTAAAGAATGAAGTTGAAGGGTACTTGTTGCTTGAAAATAAGAAATCTGGCAAATGAAGTGAATATCGGACCTCATTTTTAAGATGAACATAGAAGATATGTTGTGCTCACTCGGAAATGATAGCATCTTCAAAAAGACAAAATGCGAAGAATCGTTTCATAAGCTGATAAATGGCTTTACGTTTAGTACGTGTAGAATAACAGTTTTTCTCGGACACTATATTCCGGTTTTTCATTATAAAGTTCGAGAAGCAACTAATATCACAAAAATGAAGATAGTCTGAGGATAGACAGGTGAAAGTGCAAAAGTGCTATAACCCAGGTTGTCAATTCCTGAACTTAATTCAAACGCGGATGCACAACGGGTTCCTATTACAGCTGTAATAAAATTCTATAGGTTGGAAAAAATCCGGCCAACGGTCACGTGATTTATTTGCTCTTACATTGTGAATAATATTTAAGTGCTCATTTATATACACTTATATGTGTGCTTTACTATTGCAGCACCTTAAGGTCGGCCTTAAGGGATCTCCGTTGACTATCGACGGCGAGATGTATGCTGTGGTCAAAAAGGAAGAATGCTTCTGGAACCTTGAAGATGGCAAGGTTATTGTCGTTAACCTGGAAAAGGTACGTTTGATTTCAGTAACAACATTAGTGATTTCCTATGTCTAATTAAAACAATTGAGTAATTGTGCATTGCCTTTCGAATATTAATAACCACGTGCTACCTACAGCCAATGAATATAGCAGCGCAAGAAATGAGAAGCCTGAACATAGCGTTAACTAATGGGTCAAAAAAATAATTTATAGACTGTGTGGTTTTTATCGGCCGAAACCGACCCGCCACACGCCTATATGTCTGCTATCTACGGACCAACTTTCCGAGTGTGAAGATGTTTGCTTTGTATTTGCGACCTCTTAGGAGTAGATGACTTCTAACTATATTCCATTTTCATGAGAAAAAAATGAAGTATAGAGGAGAGAGTTAAGATAACTTGTGCGAATGGACCCAAAGTTTGCTCTCAGAGTACCCAAAGGAGAGCCAGGGATTTTAGATAAGTCCAGTCATTTTAAAAAATCATTCGGAGGTAAAAAAAAATTATATTACGAAGGATCTGAATTTCGAACTAATTCCGACTCGTAAACGGTTGTCTCAGAAAAACCACAGTCGAAAAAAATCGAAAAAAAGTAGAGTTTGCTCCTACGCGTCGTTACAGTAAATAAAACGTGGACATATGAGTACGCTGTGAGGACAGAAACAAGATCATCTATGTATTGCTTCAAAGGCACACTCAAGCCGACGAAAGTTACAACATCCAAGACAAAAACCCAAGTTCCTTCTCACCGTCATCTGGATGTTGAGCATTACGAATTTAAACTAAGTGACAACTATACTGTTACTAAAGAAGTGCTCAGAAACATCAGTATATTTATCAGCCAAAACAGGTCCAAATGTTGAGAGAACAGGCCGTAGAATCTCCGCAGCGATAATGCATGAACTCATACATCGTTACTTCAGAACACGGTTCTATCACGAAAAAGACAGTTCTTTTACGGTGGTTCCCGTGTACTTATCAGATTTAATAGTCTATAATTGTACTTCTTTCCAAAGTCAGAGAAGCGCATAACAGGAAAAGCCTTTGAAAATCGACCGAGGAAATCTAAGAAAAATCGAGAGCAGGGGTATCGTTCTACGATTGAATTTGAACTCTGTTTTGAACTCTGGTGAACGCGAATTGAATCCAGCGAAAATTACTTTTAGAACGGCTGACCTTGGATTTAAACTATATAGACATGCACAGGTGATACAGAGTTTTGATAGATTTTATAGAATTTTTGATAGATTTTCAGTCCAGTAGCAGATGCCATCCTAAATGTCACATAAAACCTATGAATTTTATCTACTGCGGTTGATGAGTCTGCTCGATAAACAAGCTTATGATTCGAGTATTGTATATATCTTTGTCATTTGCATATGCCGGCCGGCCCACTCAGTCTAACCGTATCTCTTCCTCTGTTAATTTTAGGTGAATAAAATGGAATGGTGGCCCCACCTGGTACTCACTGATCCGCTCATCAACACGCAGAAGGTTTCTCCTGGTAATTCAAAGCTGTCAGATCTCGATGGGGAAACCCGAGGAATGGTTGAGAAAATGATGTACGATCAACGGCAAAAGGCAATGGGCCTGCCGACGTCTGAAGAACAGAAGAAGAACGAAATGCTTCAAAAGTTTATAGCGCAGCACCCCGAGATGGATTTTAGTAAAGCGAAATTCTCTTGAATGGGAGAAGTATGATGATTTCACTGGTCACATCCTTTTGCTGTCTTCAGTTTTCTGTAGTTTCCGAACAGATAATGAAGACTCTGGTGTATTTGGAACAGCCAGGCAACTTCGAATTCACTTAAGAAAATGAGTGTTGCTTGACCAAGTGAAACCATTTGCTAGTAGCAAAAAATTATGACCGATAATGAAGTGGTATGAGCGCGTATAAACTCTGAATGGTATCGAGCATCGATCGGCTGTAGTGTGAAGTACGACATAACAATGGCGTGTCCGAACAGCAACAACAATTAAAGTATTAGGCGTGTGCTCTACAAACAAGGATGTCATCAACAATTTAAATAAATGAACTACTGTATATATTAATACATATATTTGTGTATGTTTTTTCATGCCTACAGGAGTGTGTAAAGTTAGATGTTCGTGATTGGCGTGGTAAATATGAGGCTTTTGCATTACAAGTTTCGTTTTCTTTTTATTTTCAATCAGCTTGATGTTAATGCGGAAGGCTCTAAATGAAAGCCTTTCTTCCTTCAGCTCGTTCGTTCGTTTAAATTTCAAAATCGTAGTAATGGTTAGATAGAAAAAAAGCAGGTCTGAAACTCTTATTTGAGATAGCAAACACGAATCTTCATTACACTAACATTAGTGTATAGCAATAATTAAACTACAACTTTAGTCACAAATATTTTGCCCGGTACCATAAATACATCGGTCCTAGTGGTTTTGTGTATTTAGCTTATTCCGAGGTCTTAGAGAAAAAACAGGTAATCCTTGGTCTTTTAGAAATTAATTTATAATACGCGCTTGAGGACACCAAATGTGGCTTATAGATATATGCTGCGTTGGTGTGGAACTTCAGCCAGCGTTTTCCTCTGCAAGACCCATTAGATTTACACTTTTATCGTTTCTGGTCTTGTATCGGTATTTGCTTTAGTACTACTTTGATAAACTGATTGATTTACGCAAGAACTATCTCACTACTTGGCTGTTGAAGTTATTGTCGACTGGGTTGGTAACACAGGTCAGGAAATCTATTCAAATGTTAAAAAAAATGACACGAAACTGACGAAGAACGCCTTGCGGTCAGCAGAATTCGAACCGGCGCGGGAAAACCCCGTTGAATTACAAGGCCAGCGCCTTAACCAATCAGCAAAGACTGCACAAGTAAGTAGGACGGTCTTCTACACTTGTTCAATAATTTTTTGATACTGGCTCTGTTGAACTGTCGGTTTCACTACATAATAGCCGCAAATCTAGCAAGTTCAGCAAGAATTCCTTGACGAACATTGAAGTGTCCTTGACGAACATTGTCGGATTATTTTTAAGCTTTCGGTGGCGGTCACGTTTGTAGAAGATCACTCGTGCACATCAGCCAATGCCAACTAGCATTTTATTACTTTTTACTTTAACTTAATGATAAAACAGTTAGACTTAAAGTCGTTTTGTAATACTTACGTGAGCGAGAGATTCCTGCACACAAGAACCTATTAGGCATAAAATACGCAACTTAAGGACTCAAATTCTGTAACTCGGTAACTTCCTTCCAAGTCTTTTTATTCAAATTAAATTAATGCATTGGGTATATTTCTGGACATATTTTGGAGCTAAGGCACTATCTCTTTTTCTTCGATTACTTTGGTATAGTGTGTTAATTCTTAGCTATGACGGGTAACAATTGCGCGACAACTCTTACAGGAAGGAATCCTCTAGAACACTTGTTACACGCTTGCTCTGAGTATATTAACTCGACGACATTTCTAAATGTTCTAGCAAAAAGGTTCTCGTGCTTTAGTAGAACATCAGTCAGGAGTTCAAGATGCCGAAGATAAGCTGAACAAGGCGAAGCATAATCAGAAACAGTTAGAGAAGTATGTTGAGTTTGTACAATTTGCAATTCTATTAGCCGAACTATATATGTAACTGCTCTTTAAGCAACAGACTCCTCTACATCCCAAATAACGAAAGCCTTTTCTGAAATAAGCTACGGGAGCTGCCTTTCGGCCTGCATCGTTTAATAACTGATTATTAACATTTGTTCAAGTTTAGTTACAATTAATGCTGAAGCTGTGTAAAAAAGCAACAAATAAAAGTACGAAAAACATGTACGAGCGAGACCATACAAAAGTTTTTACTTGATTATAATTAGCTTTAACTTTGAGATCAAGGGTTATTTTTCAAGCTTGCTGGTCAATACACTTGCGTAATTACTTATCACGCATTTTGAAAATCGCCTCATTCTGTTTTCTAGTGCAAGATCATGCCATCGATTTCATAATCAGTCAACAGAAACTACTAGAATAATATTTAAAACATTTTTGAAACGTAAGTCTATACACTTTAATATACAGAAAAAAATAAAGAACGTATAACTGCAATCGTCACTGATATGCCTAGTAGCATTCTATATTAAAAACATACATCCAAATTGTTGCCTTTTACATCTTTGTTTAAACAAACAAAGATGTAAAAGAGAGTTGTAGGGATTGTATCGTATCATGGCTGACATACCAATTGACTCAGCATGCATGAATCTAAGATCAAATCTCGTTGATCTCGAGTATTATGCCCCTTGGACACTCGGAGAATTGATACTCTACCAACTTTAATACCAAGGCTAGCTGATCGACGTCTGATGTATAACAGAAAGCCGGCACACTTTGACGGCGAAGTCCCAACAAGGCATTTCACAACATTTGCGTTGTTAAGGTTTTAGGCTAAGTGGAAATTAAAGAGAGATCGAGGTTCTCTGCAAGATGTAGATTTGCTTATATTAATGAGGCTGTGGTTTAATACATATGACAGAGACAACGGAATATCCTGTGATATCAGTAATGTCACCGCAGCCCATTTTGCAGTCAAAGTGGGTCTTCTCCTGTGCATAGCCATTGTCTGTAAGCGGAACTTCCCTTTGCCCTAACTCTTACATTGTAGTCTAAACCGTTATTAATAGAATTCTTTATTCCATCATTAGCTACCAAAGAATTCAATAGCATGTTCACGCACACTAATACAAAATACGAACACAGAGACATCACGTTGAGTTAATATTTTCTTTCGTTTATTAGTTTTGCTGATCTTTGATGAATATATTAAACAGTCTTTGTACATATCGAACGGCTTTGGGCAACTTTTTAGGCGACAGTAACATCGAGCGTTGACTGCGATGAGGGACGTCGACGACACCTACGTAAGACATATTCGCCTCGTACTGACACACCTACTCGGTACATGCACAACAATTTCGCTTCCTCCCCTTGCACAGTTGAGCCAGCTTGCTATCATCATTACTGTTATTATATACCAGTCTTATTGCTACATTATCGATGTCTTAGCCTCAGCGCAGCCGAAACCTTTGGACATGATTGATGACGCTGTGTGTCCATAGACCTTAATTTTTCTATCTGTATTTTTTCTTGAAATTTGTCGACCTTTTGCACTCGAACGCTGAGTCACGAACCCAGGTGTCCTTTTTCCTCATCTTGGTCACCTTCCGTAACAGAGATCACCATCATGATTCGTTCTTCCGTATGTTTTTCGTTCTTGTGTATTCTTCTCTTCGGAATAAAACAACCAGCTCTCAGCAACAATCGTCATGTTATAATGTCGTCGTCATCGTCGCCATCATCGTCACCATCATTATCTTGACCACCGCCACATACACAAATCGCGTACAATTGAGGCCGTACGCCGCCACCATCGTCATCGCCTTATGCTTCCTTCGATCACCGTTTTATAGCTTCCTTTTCTACTCTGTGAGAGCGTCGTACGGCTCTCATATTTCGCGTCCTGTTTTCATGTTTTTCTTTGCCATTTTATTTAGTTCTTTCTTGCTTTCTACAGTGGTCGAAGAATAATTGCTCGGCTGCCTTTTGGCTTAAAGCTGACGCACAATATCCTCACGGGTCTAAGATCTTACATACTATAACACCATACTCTACCCCTCCCCCCCCCTTGTACATCAGCTTTAGCCTAGTCTTCCACACACACATCATCATCATCATCATCATCATCATCATATATACCACTATTATCAAGCCTGATTGCGCTTGCTTAGTAGCTGGTTGGTTTGTCTTGCTTCGATCCCCCTTCCGTTGGTTTGTTGTCATCAACTATATACAAGTACTCTGAACAACACGGTTCTTTCGTTTTGCGAATCGACGATCCGCCAAAGGATGGCGCTTTCTAGTCGTAATCTGCCTTGTAGCTTAATACGTGAACCACCGGATATCAGGGCTATTACTAAGCAATACATTTTCCCGCAAGGATTTCGCACCTCGAGAGGCGTCGGAGAGCGCCGGTTTCGTTTTTTGCTTACTTGTTGTTTTCGTAGAATATCATCTATTGTGAATCTGTACGATGTTTTTGTCTTAGCGAACGTATTTCCCATTATTTGGCTAGAACTGGCTGCTATCAAGCGAATCTACACCGCATGCTGGTACACAACTTCTGCATAGTCAGTGAGATTCAGTGGTCAGTGGCATATCGCATATTTAGACCATTCGGACTCTTATTTTTCGAACCTGACCCGGAAGGCGTCCATATGCTTGATTTAATTTTAGCAGAAGAAACCGAAGGCTTATCACATCCACAACTCTTATTGCTATAATACAGTTTAGATCCATGCGTTTGCTTAATTAGCATGGCAAAAATTAGCTTTATTATTGGCATCAAACACTTTCGGGTACTTATTATCAATTAATTAATTAGTTGACCAATGAATAAATCGACCGGCCAATCCACATGCACTACATCTAGACCTTCGACCGGAGAGCTACTTCACCACTACGACATCAACAGAAGACCGATTTACATAAAAGCGACAAAAATATTAAGTCATAACACCCCAGTATGAACTCTTCCTGTCCATTAGTTGGTCTCTTGAAAGAAAGATTAACGACTCCACTCATCAACATCTGTGCGTACTGTGGATCTACCGTATACGGATATGAGCATGGACCGCGGGTGGACGTAGACCTGGAATATTTATCCACCCATCCAATATCATCGGCATTGTCCCGCCCTCCCACCTTATCGGCGAGTAGTCCCCCTGCCGGTCGGCCTTGTCCTCACCTATTATTGCCTTCGTTAGTACTCGTTACAAGATGCCAACGATATCTTGTTTCACGAGTGTCACTGTATTTATTTAATGTGTTCATAAAGTTAATCCATGCGCTCGCTCTATACATCGGTTGTGTCCGCTTGGCGTAGGCTTCCGGCCTTGGCAATCGGGGGCGGCTGGGACACGGAACCTGGCCCATGTCTCAACATTCCCGTGTACGCCTGGGCCTTGCCGAGCGGCGGTTGCTGTTGCTGAAGTATCTGCTCTTCGGGGATGCTGTGTGGATGGTTGTGTTGCTGAAGATGATGGTGAGTGTGCTGGTGCTGGACAACATGTTGGACATGTTGAATATGCTGAGGGTGGTTGATGCCTCCGGTTGCAACGCCGGCAACCCCAGAAGCATTGGCAGCTGCGGCGGCTGATGCCGCGGCAGACGCGGGCACGGTCTGCGGGGACGAGTCCCTGCTGGCCGTACTGGCAGCGGATGACTGGAACGAAACCGACATGCCGCTGTCGAGCGAGCCCGCACTGCCACGCCGCACCGGCTTGGCTAGCGGAGGCTCGGCGAGGTCAAGCAGTGAGTTGGACAGAGCGGAGCCCTTGCCCTTCAGACCACCAGCTCCTCCATGAGCCCCATTGCTGCTGCTACTGCTCCCTTTATCCGCCTTGTCTGACGCGGGTGAGCCGTTCGGCAGCTGAAGATTAGGCACGTCCTCGTCGGTAGCTACTCCGCTGTCGCGATTCTCCGCCTGATTGGCCCATGACGCCGACTGCTTCTCGAGCTCAGCTTCAATACGAAGCGCCTCCATTTCGTCCATCTCCAGGACCGACTCGCGTAGGTCATCGCAGAACTTCTCTCGATCGTGCTCGTTTCGTGCGTTTAGGGTGATCACAATCTTACCGTCGACCCGCTGTGACAGCGATATTCCAAATGGATAGTGTGGCGTGGAAAAGAGCGTCACATTAAGTCCAACCAGCGGTATCGATTGGCGGAAGCTGTACGTTATCGCTCCTTTCTTCTTGCTGGCAATTTTGCTAACGAGCAATAGATCATTGAATAAGAACACCTCACGCTGGTGTTGGCCGGCTTTGTCCTTCTTTTGTATATCATAGACCTCGTACAATCGGCAGTAACATACAAGTCGTCGATGGGGTAGCACAAGGTTCGGTTTTTTGGCGCCAACTATCGTCTCGTGCACTTTAGCTACCTGAGTTACATGGTCGCTACCTGGTCGGAATGCCTCCTTCTTAATTCGGTCATATATACCGGCCAGCGTAGCTCGGTCGACATTTTCAAAGCCTTCGACGCCTCGAAGATTCTTGATGTAGTCGTCGACCTTCATTCGACGATGCTCCGCTAGCGAGGGATTATGCAGGTCGACGTTGAGCATAACAATGGAAAACGCAACGACCAAAACGTTGTCGGCGTTCTTGAAGAACTGTGCCACAAGGTCAGGATTACAATCAGCATAGTGCAGTGAGAACATCTGGATCACGTGGTCTACCTTTTGCGCTTCGCCCTGTGACCAACACAAGAAGACATCTATTTAGCGTCTGTAAACGTTAAATATATTTCCTAATAGATCGCTTGAAAAAAACGTTTGCAGCTAACAGGATGTCACTGATTCGATTAATAGGACAACAGACGAATTGTTTTGAGATGTATATGTACATGAACGTTTACGCGCGTATGCGTGTATCCTCGCTTGTTCGAACAGCCCTGGTAAAGAAAGTATGTTCATTTAATCAGATCCAATTAAACCTCTTATTGTGCCTTCTCAGGGGCACTTCGACCGATCATAGTAAACCCAAGCAGGTCAGTGAGCAAAGCATATAATACAATCGACTTGTATTAAATGTCTTCTATGCTTTATTACTATTCTTAATAAGGATAATAGCAGTGTGAGAGAGGATAATCTTTCCTAAAAAAGCCTGACATCTTACCGGCATTTGGAAGTACGACTGGAACTTCCGGAGGGCGACGTCGACCTGCATGCCGGATAGATCCATTTCGCGTACTGAACATTCGAGTACCTGCACTGCGAATGGGTTTTGCCGATCGCCAAGGTACTCGCCGATCTTATTCTTACTGAGTCCCTTGCGTGTCATAAGGAAGCGAGCCACTGCTTGCGGTGTTCCTTCTAGGAAATTCTTCTCTATTAGATAGCGAATGCCCCGTTCGGGCTTCTTATTGAACAGGTTGAGTCCGACACGGTAGTGTCGCTTGCGTTCGATTTCCTTTTGCTTGAAGTCGGCGGGATTAAAGCTGGGCGTTTCAGCCGGCGACGCGAGAGCTCCGAGGTTGTGGCAGGGGCCGCTGTTGCTTTGCGACGGATACATAAGTAAAGCGTCGGCTGCAGCATGCGAATTGCCAGCAGCGTATCCCGGCGTGTCGCACGTGTCCTCCGATATATTCGATAGCCGCTTGTCGGCCGTGTCGTGCTCCTCGCCAGATGCGCCCCAGAGGGGCGAATGGGAGTGGTGCGACTGCAGGTCAGAGGAGGAACCGTGCGAACTGACTGAGGTCTCGAGTACAAGCGATGTTTCCGAGCCCGTCGACTCACAGTGGGAGCCCCGCAGACCGGACATCGGCGAGAGGTTTCTCTGCATCGAACACGTTCTCTTGGGGACCTGTTAGTTAGGGAGAGACGAAGAATAAGAAGCGATTACTCTCAACTTGATTTCAGGCGCAAGTTGTTATTAACATCGTTTTCCTACGACCATTCTATGATCATTCCACAGAACATGTGCTTGGCACACAGTCTCATCCTCCAGTGAACGGACAACTTCCAGCATTCGCAGTGATCTAACGCGCATAAATTAAGCAATTGTGGAAATTTAGAAAAGTATCGTATACTTATAGTCGAGAACTGTTGCTACCGATGCCTCGACTTTAATATTAGCACTAATAACGCCTAATACGTCGACACCGTGACGCTAGATGCGATTTGACACAAAAGGACATATTGCTATGTGCGGCAAAATAGGTGCAATTATGATACTATTCCAAGCTATTTAAAACGACTTGCTACAAACATTAGAAGCGTAAACTGTCTTGCCGTGCCTCCGCCCCACTCTGATTTAATCTGCTCTGCCCTTTCAGGCCATTGCGAGCCGAGGGGAAAAGAGAGAAGGGCTTAGTAACGAGATTATGTCATGGCCGGCTACAATTAGAAATGTTCGTTGTTAAAATAGCTAGTTGCTCCTGATAACGGCGAAACGATCGAGTAGTCATCTCGGTTTAACCATTCGAGCATCTTTGTGCTAGCCATTTCGGTCGTACGGCTTCACCGGTCAGTAAATAGCGATACGATACCATTGGTGACAAGCACCCAACCACGATGCTCGGGCATACATGCACAAAGGCGTACATACCGGACAAAAAGCAGCGAATACGACATCTACGTTGTTTCGAAACTGTCTCTGGTTAACTGCAGTGCCGTTATGTTAACGGTCGACCGCTGATCCCGCTTGTTCTTGCTTCCTCTTAGGTTCTTTCTTATGCAAAGAAGTGAACGGTGACCGCCAGCAAACTAAGCTAGGTTCACTGAAGCACAGTTAAATGTGAACAAACGTTGTATTAGTATGACGAGTACGACTACGAACTGGTCGCTGGTGTGCACTTACGGACCGTGACTCAGTCAAGTGTAGCCAGGCAAAGCTATCGGCAGCTAACCGCCAACCATCCATGGTGGCCCATAGCAAGCGCTACTTGTTATATGGGCCGCTTAACATTGACATTTGAATAGGGCGAGATGACCGAGAAAGCAGAAGAACAGGCGGTAAGCTGTCGGCAACATGGTGACTAATATCTATCTTTCTGTATGTGCGAGTGTTAAACGTATTAGGTCGTTCTGTTCCGCTTTCTCTTCAGCTTGGCCGGAGAAGGTACGGTCGATAGCTCACCGGAAATGGCGTTATACCACCATAAGGCAGAACAGAAGTGAACTAACAGGGGAAAAAATGAAATCGTCTCAGCGCCACTGGTGCCGTTTTATGGACAAACCCAAACGCCGAACGGCGAAGAAAATCAAATCCCAAAAAGGATATTCGATTGTTTTTCTTTCTCTCGTAACCACATGCCGGCTACGGTTACCGTGGGACCGAATGGGACGCAGGCGTACAACCCGTTTCTATTTCGAGGAAAAACAGATCGTAATGGGTATGGTAACGAGGACTATGCTTCTACATTTACTTTTCTCTTGTTTTTGGATAGGAAATATTTTTTAAGTGCGCAAGAGCTTTCGATAATTCCCGCAACATGAATCAACGAGCATCGGCAGATTCTCGTTAAAAAAAATACGTGTCAACGTGGAAAATAATCTGACCCACGACGAAACGATGCTTATCAAACGCTCGTTATTATTATGAAGGTTTTTCCGAAAAAGTACTACAGTCCTAAATACAGGAATCAATCGGGCTGAGTGCGAAGAACTATATCGGCTGTAGGCTGACATTCAAACATGCTATGCAAATGACATTGTGAGTCCATATTAAATAAATATATGTGTATAGCAACCAGCTAAGAATAAAACTACCATACAGACCTGAGGCGGCATCTTCCTTCGGTGCAGCGACCCAACGCTGTGCGATGCGAAGCCATGGTGCCTCTCGAGCCCTCCCTGTCCCGTCAGGGCGGAGGGAGTCATCGTCTCCTCAAGAGATCCCTGTAACACCAGTATCGACGAAAAGCCATGGTAAAATTCATGTACGTTATGAGAATGCAAATTCCGTATTCGTTTCGGGTTTAGACAAACGAAAAACGGTTTGTTTGCTTAGGATTAACTAATCTTAGATCAGTTGTGTAAACATGCATAGAAAATTCAGATAAAAAGCTGTCTAGCCTTGATTCCACAGAGTGTAAAGGTCATCATTCAATAAAGCTGTGAAGTAACTGAATTTGGCTTAAGCTATCGAAAGTCGTCGTTTCCCAACAGCAATGAATACTTGAAGGTGCTTGAAGGTTGCTTTGAACCTTGTCATCCGCTAAGTGATGGAAGCGATTTTAAGAAAGACGAACGCACACACATAGACGTAACTGAGGCAGGCCCGTAAGCGACAAGCGACCAGTAATGGTAGCGTGACTTCAACGAAAACCGATCACGCCGCATAAAGGGCCATTTAAATTACAGGCGACAAAAAGGCTAAGTGTCCGCGAATTACCAACGACGCAACCCCTCTCTGAACATAATTGCGGCGTAATTTGCGCAACAATAACATTATTTAAACAGCAATCGTACTGAACCGTCTAATAAGCTACGCAAAGCAATTAATTAATAAGCAATTAAAGCGATTAATTACATAAATCGATCTTGATATATTATAGTTGCATATAGAAAGAATAAACAAACAGAACGTAAACTGGTCAACCGAAAATTTCCTAGTTGTTCGAAATAATACTACAAACAATGCTTTACAACGAAATTGCAGGTTTCACTTTTAATAAGTATTGCCTCTTTCCTTATTCAATAGTGCGCTTTATAGATCGTCCAATCTTTCCTCCAGAATGGTGGATTCATGGTTTATCTGTAGCAGCAAAGGAATGAATCGGCACCACCATGGATAGTCAGCATAACCGGTATTCATCATCATAACCTCAAAGGTAAGACCAGTACTACAGCAGACCGCACTAGAGATAAACCGGGTTGCTATATGTTCATCGTGATATATTTTTACCTGGTTATAATTTATATCACTAGTTGTTTGCGGATCATTGATTGGTTGAGTTGGTTTAAGGGCTCGAGGTCGATATATCGCTATTTCATACCAAGGGACGAATGGATGCATGCACATATCAAGCTTTCCGGTCAGTCCGTCATTGTTAGGACAGCAAATTGATTTGTGCAGTCTAGCAGATACTAGATACAGCGCAGCGTTCGAGTTTATCGCTGATAGACTGTTCTGTCGCTACGTGATACACACATGATGGGAACAATAGCTGACGAGGTCTAACGAGGTCGGATCTGTTGCTGGCTGTATTCGTTTGCTAACTAAATAGAAAAAAAGCTTACGTATGCTCGTTATTGCTACTAAACAAAAGCGACGAAACAACGAAACGATGCGGTGTTGGTGGTATGTCTGGATGACACGGTCAAAAAAACGGACAAGCATTAAGAAGCTAAAAAATAAAGATACGCGATAGTTACCTTCATATATAGATCCTAACAGTTGTTCAGCAAGGATGCAACCATTGGGCGTTAAATCTATCTATACGTTTCTGCCCACCAGCCAATAGCTTTAATATGGGATCGACGTTGCCGCTCTGACTATTGAATATAAAAATTCACAGTAATTTCGTATACTTACTTGCGAATGATTGTTTTTTTTTTACATAAACTGATACTAGTTCAAAGACTGTCACAGCTAATACCCAACAAAATTACGTCATATCAAATTAAAGATATTCTCTCAATGGCACTTATTACACAACAGAATTTAAACAAACGACAGAGCATTTTGATACTGATGAGACACAGTAATTAACATTGCAGTACAAACATGGCCTACTGTTCCTCTTAGGACAAGCAAACACACCCACCCACTCACTGTTAATTGCCTTAGCGAAGGCTGACTCTCGCGTTGTCATCAAAGGTCGCGGTGGCGTCACATGACGTCCCGCTACCAACACTCGTATATCTCGTACTGTTTTGCCCGCGATTCGCCTTTTCGCCGGCTGTCTCAAGCGAGGCACACACAAGCAACAGCATTATACGGTCATCGACGTAAAAGCAATCAGCCAGCGACCATACTCTTAAGTATTGGCACCAGAGCGGCGTCAAGCCACCTAATTAGAATCACCAAAAAAATTCCATCTTTAAGTTTCTCTTTATAACGACCAGTACTATCTATCTGTAGTAAATGAATAAGGTGTCGTTATATTTCCGACGTATACCTGCTCACCCGTCGTATGTTCGAATGAACAAACTATCAATCCTCTTAGAAAGGAGTCGAAATATTCACAGCAATAACACACATCCTCGTAAGCCTGTAGATTCATGGTGACTGTGGTGATCATTGTCTCTGTGCTATCGATCTGCTTGTTATCGTCAATGGGCCAAATAGTATTGGACAGCTGCTGTTGATACGACTGTTATGGCCACCAATCGTGGCCGTCGACATGGAGTTCGTTGAGAGAAGCCCGTTTCTCCGCCAGAAGGACAGAGTCTCGCGCCGAAACGTGCCCTTGCTGTCTTCAACTTCAGTGGCAATTCTGATAAAAGCTAATCTGACAACAACAGCCAAGAACGCTTGTTGATTTTTGAATGTCAGACACTACAAATTTAAAGCGCTAGCCAAAGGAGTCGCGTGGCAACTCTAGCAATTAACCAGCAAATAGATAACCTAACTTAACGCTACGGTCCGAATAAAGAACGAACAGGCCATTTCGCCAAAGAGTAGGTTCTTCCTCTTTTGCGGAAACTTTAGATGGCGGCACCTTTGTCTTTAGGAAAGCTCTAACTTGCAGACACAGCGCAGTCCAAACAAAAACCAGGGCGCTACTACTCATTTAAGCACGGTTAGAAGTTTCGAAAAAGGCCAAATTATCGCCTGCACGTGACCATGGCAACCAGTGTCTCGTCTGAACGCATTCACAGACACACGTGTATACATAGATAATAGCAACAGGGAGTGCACAAGAAACATGCCGTAACTGGTTGTGACTCTCTGCTCGGCTGGTCGGAGCGCCCCCGGGAGTGTTGGCGAGTGCCTGACGCGCGACATACGCGCAGATGTTCCCCGAGACCGTTCGCTCGTGGCTCATTTGCCGATCTAAACAACGAAGAATAACAAATAGAATGACGATGCACGACTCTAGAGAAATCGTATTTGAACCTCGCAGAACAAGAGGGACATATCTCTATAGCCGCCTCGCTTACCAAATAATACGGAGCTTCGTTTGAGAAATAGATAGATAGATCTCTCAAATTACGATTGTGGCATTTTAGGTTGGCTAGCAGTGGGATAAATCGAGCTAGTGCCGTAACGTTTGTCACTTACATGAAAAATTAAGCAAATAAGCCGCATATATACTTATTAGAGAAATGTTACATATTTCTCTGAAATCTAAGTCCTTGCACGTATTTCGATGCAACATATCACAGCAGGCCGGTCCAAAATTTCCTCTAAAACGATAGCAGTGGTTCGCTTAGAGGATTCAATTTACACCTTTTAGTATTCCCTTTGAAATGATGTCCCAGACGAAGCTTGCGAAAACTCGGCAACCATCAGCGTATCGCCAACAGCACGAGCGAACAAACTCTCCCCCGTTAGGAGCATAGTTCAAGTTAATCTTGCGTAGCTGCTTAAACGCGACCCATGCGCCCCAGACATATGGCCTCTACGCGATCCCTGCTGTGCGAGGTGGAAACACGTTTTATTCGTTTCGAAATACATAACTGGAAAAATTCCCATTTTCAATCTCTGGCTAGTTCTAGTTCGAGTTTGAGCTTATCGGGTCATCGTAACGTTTATTTTACTAAATAAAGTAGAAGACGAGCTAAACTAGCAGAAGCAGTTTCACTTTTTATTATCGGTGCCACTTCGTAACTCTTATCAAACGCATGAATCAAAGCCAATCAGTGAAGCAGACAGGATTTGGGAAAGCCTTTGGTTAAAGCCAACGTCAACGGCTCGCGCTGGTGGTGATAAACAAAAAAAGAAGTCAACATACAGCTGAACTTCTTCAAGACCTCGGTAGCGATAGCAGTGGTTGACGCTGCAATAATGTCACAACAGCTCGACAGGGCCCCAAGAATGACTCACCTCTGATCTCGTCCAACGTAAGGAGACGTCTAACATGGTTACTACGGTTGTGCAACGAAGTCGGTGGGCGTATACAGTCGGGATCCTCAGGGGCACCCACCGCTTGGTAGCAAGCGTTAACGGCAGCTCCGTAACCCAGTGCTCTGCACTTTGAACTTCTTATAACATTGTTTCTTCTTTTTTCTTTCGTTATTGGTCGCTTATGCATAAGGGCAACATTCGAGCGCGAGCTAAAGTTGGCGACTGTCCTTCGTAAAACGTCAGCGATACTATTAGCACGAAATCCTTAGGTCACATTTGGAAATGGATGAACATTTAATAAATCCAACTGATGGACACAAAGCTCACAAATGTAAACTAGCCTAAACTATTGTTCTTGCGACGAATTGATCACTCGTAGTTTTCAAATAACGACAATGGCTGGATTAGCATCCGCGCAGATAGTATATTATATTAACAAAAAACGAAGTGGCGGTGCTTGTGTACTGACACTATCACCTCACAAATGTCGTCGGATAGGTAGTGAACAAAGAAAGAGTTTACATTAATGGAAATAAACTTAAGCTGTACGAGTACTTCAACGTGTTACCAAAAAGTCAAGCACACTTTGTCAATGTCGTTCCCTCCACCGTAACATCGAGCACAGTCCTTCTACTTCTCACTGTTTGTACCCAATTAATTCAGTTGAAAACATGCGCCGACTGAGGAGTTTATGGGTGAATAGGGCAATCAAAAGGAAACTGTTCCAGATTTGCACCGGCAAAGCCACATCGAAAGCTAGCTCAGGAAGCGCACTGCCGACCTGAATTCACAAACATGCCTCTGTTACGTCATTTTTTAACCTGGTCCACTCACTATTCTAGGGAAAGGACATTTATAAGAATTGTTGCTCCGTCAATGTAGG